TAAGAGACACGTTGATGATTTAGATGAAGAAATCACTGCTGATCTGATGAATGTTAGTCCACTAGTGTCTCTTCTTTTAGCTCGCTTTTTGGTCTCCACCAACTCCAACAATATTTGATCCTTTAGCTGTGAAATGCTCCACTATGTTCAGGTGCTAACTGTCTGTGTCAGCTGTTTGGTGCTGAGCAGGTAGTGTGAAGTGGATTTTTAGGGTTTTTTTCCACTGAAAACAGCTGCCTGTTGCAACCAAGACGAAGGTGATGAGAGTCAGATTGAATCAAAACAGTGAAAACCCAAACAATGAGCTCCCCCTTTCACATTACACAGCTGTGTCTCATGTTGTGTTCACACCAAACGCGATGTGAATTTTCACATTGTGTTACTTGTGCAAGTTTGAACAGCATATGAAATCTCTGAATCGATGAATGAACTTCCACCAGGACTTCCTCAGCATCATCTGGCGAGTAATTTCCTTCGAGATAAATAAAACGCTGTTGAACTGAAGTGAATTGAATTGATCACGTGTGTTGCTGAGTTTGTCTGGTGCAGTTCATGGCTCATGCGTAACCAGCATAGCTGTGTCGCAACTGATGCCTTTGTTGTTACCACAGTAACCCATGTCGATAGGATGGTGATGTCTGGACACACAGATGTGATCACTTCCACATACACCAGCAGACAGTCTGTCGTAAAGATCTAATTTGAGACACAGATCTAATCTGCCTGCAGGCTGATCATAGCTTCACAGTTCAGGAGTTTTTATGCAAATAAGAGAACTTCATAAACAGCCACGTGTTATTACTGTTGGATGTACATCGACATAAAAATACCCACTTTAATATATACTTGTTAATTGCATTACTGTATGTTCCCATAGAAACACAGCTTGGCGTCTCTCTTATTGCTCCCTGGTTCGGCATCTCAAGATATCAAGTCTGCCTCCAAGCAACAGCCTCAGATCCAACACGTCCCTCACACAGTATTCTTATACAACTCCTACATGCTGAAAATGAAATCCAAATACGAAATTTAATTTGCATTAAAGATCAAATGTGTTTTCCACCTCGCCTGCGCTGCTGGTGGTTGTTGACATCGTGCTGCATTGAGAATTGTGTGCAGGGCCGGGACGTGTGAGGGCCATTATGGGTTTTAAATCCGTCTGTAATCATGTCAACAAAGGCGATGGGACTGCACCGAGCCTGTGTCCAATCTCTCTGAGATTATTATTATTATTATTATTATTATTATTATTATTATTATGCTGCCATCAAAAACTAATATAACGCGGCTGCTTGCTCATCCACAATCAGCTTTCTCTCCGTTGTCTGTGACTTCTCTACTGAGCGTGAAGGCTTGCAGTTGGACAGGATCTTCCGTCAAAGGCCTTCATCAATTTGTTTTACATTCAGACTGTCAGAGTGCATTTAATGAAGTACTTTAGTGGTTCGGCACAAAAAGAAAAAAAAGAAAATCCGCAAAAGACCTGCCAAGAAACAGGAGCACATGTCTGAAACCGAAATGATTTAGCTGTGATGAATATTAAGAGCATGAGAGAGACGGGCTTTAAGTAAATTAGTTTCAACTGGATTTGTAATTACTGTCATCTTAGAAGATTCTTTTAAACCCTTCGATTTAATTGGTGGTCGCTGCGTTAAAGCAGCCTGCAGCTTTTATTCTACCACAATAGAGCTATGAAATTACTTACTTATAATTAGAGAGGATGCAACACACAAGTTCACCTCTAGTTCCTCTTTATGACGCATTACGTCTGAATAATTTCCTGCAGTTGTTGTACAAATGGAGGCATAATCACAGTCACAGTCAAAACTTTTCTCTTGGCAGAATTTATCGGCTAAAATAAAAGATGTCAAGGTCAAATCTGGCAGCGCCTCTGTTAAATCAGAGCAGTGGGGACCTTATTGTTTTGAAATGGCCCTTAAACACTCTGCGGAGCTGACGTCTCAATCAGCTCACTTACAAAAGCACCGGAGGTGTCTGAAGTCTCCCATTATGTCTTTTGTTCTATCCGGGGCTCGCAGGTACACCTTGTCGGAGTTTCTGCTGTCTTGTTAAATTTGCAATGAAGAGGGCTCTGATCAATTAACTCTGCAGAATTAGTCCCAGTGGGAGTTGGGACGGGGACGAAATCAATGGTATTCAAATGAACATCGCCCACACTACAGCAAGCGAGGCGTTTTCTTGAGACTACATTAGTTATTCCCCCTGTTGTAAGAACAGACGGTCGGGATAACGTCTGGAACAGCTCCTTCTCACATCTTCCTCCTTTGAGGCAAATCTTCAACATCTTTTAAGTGAGGCAGTGTGGGTGTGGCGCTACAGCCGACCTCCCACACTCACCTCGCAGCGGGAACACACTGCTTACCCTCGACTGACTAAAGCATGTATGAATAGTGTCTTCATAAGCCGAGCTGTGAAATGATTCATGCTTCATTATCTCCACCATAGAAGGGTGACCATTTGACTAGCTTAAACAGTTAAAATGTGATTTTTGCTGAAACAAGCACAGGTTCAGCTGAACGCAGCAAAATATTTTCAGTAGACTGAATTCTTTTAATTTTTACTTTTTTCCTGTTAATTTAATTTAATTTAATTAAATTTAACTCAATTTCATTTAATTTAATTTAATTCAATTTAATTAATTTGTATGGAGAGTTTTTAACATTTTTATTTATTTATTTTTAAATATATTATATTTTAACATTTATAGATTACTTGCATTTATGATGATCAAATATCGCAGATTATTCATCAGTAAGTCATATTGTGAAATAATAAAACCTGAATAATTCTGTCTCCTCATAATTTACTCTTGTAGCATAAGTTTTTTTCTTGCACAAAAAAATTTTGTTCAAACTAAACTTGTTTTCCCTTACAACTGTTATTTGTTGCTTTAGGTTATTCAATAATTAATATAATTAAAATATACTTGTATTTTTGCTTATTAACAGGTGCTGAATTCTCCACTTCAGTGTGCCAGATAATTAAACAAATGCTTTTTACACTTAATACCATAAAATATATTAATTCTGAGAAATGTTTAAATGATCTAAACTGTGGAAATATCCCTAATGGACAGCTTTTTTGCAGCAATCTGCAATGCGAACTTACAACACTTTTTTCTGGCAAACTTGGGATTCTGGTTCGGGTAAAAGTAAAATAATGTCACAATATTTCAGGGTACGATATTGCAACAAAATAAGTGATATAGTTTTACAGTTTGCTTCAAATATTCAGTAAAAACTAAACAAAAAATGATCTCTCATTTCTTTAATTTGTGAACAACAGCAGTAACTCAGAGTGAGATTCAGGTTCTGTATACAATATTAATAGTTCAACAAAATAAAGTCTACCACACATTACACATTTAAACAGCTCCCAAATACAACAATTGTACCCTGGGATCTATATATTTAAATCAACAGGTGATTTCCTTCTGTTATTTTTTTTCCACCTGGACCTTTATGCTCTGCCATTTCTCCTCTAATCATCACGCTGTAACCTGTGACAGGCTGTTATGATACCACAGCTATCACACATTCACATATATGTAGTTTTTTTGTCAAGCTAGGAGCGTCATGTAGGTTTACATTACCGAAGGTTTATGACAAAATCACTTGATGACACCGACTTCCGTGTGTGCACGGTGAGAGAGGAGAGGGAGAGACGCTGTGCTGCTGCCAGAGGAGACACTGAATGAGTTCCCTCTGAGCGGTAACTCACTAAAAGACCGTGAGAAGTCCGGGGCTGTTCATTAAACATTTAGGACACCACAGTTTATTCCACACTACTGAAGCTGCTCCTCTTTTTGGAACCACTGCGGAGTCAGTAATAATTCAGCTTTTAGCCATGCTTGTTAATTCAGTGGGAACCAAGTCAAAATACTGCGAGTATCACGATGTGAATTTTCATTTCATATTAAAAATTATACTGGTATCATAATGAACGAGACGATATGGCACCCCCCTGATTCTGGTGTCCTGCATTTTGTATGTCCGCCAACCACCCCGACCTCCTCACTGTGAATCCAGTGTGGTACATAAATGTAGTGTTTCATTAACCCAAAGTAATGTTCTCTGTGAACATAATCCAGGCTGTGATACCACAATGCAATTATGAAAACAACTTAGTGATATACAAACATAATTTCTGGGAGACATGGTTGGTTTTTGTGGAAACTACTATACGCTTCATACAACTAGCAAACAGCATATTGTTACCTGCAAAGACACTGCTGAATGTCTCATATGCTTGGCTCAATACTATCATTTAAATTTGTAAGATTATGAAATATTTGCACTCTCTTAATGTTTTTTTAAATATACTTTTTCATTTCAGTTGAATACAGTAAGACAATTTGACTGAAACACCATGCTTTCACAGTCTCCTCTCCTCCTCCACAGCTGATTTTCAAACTGAGATTTTTTTTCTCTCTCTCGACAAGAAACAGACCCCATGGAGGTAAATGGAGCCTGGTGTGAGTTCTGAGTTGAGCCCTCAGCAACAAAGGCAATTATAGCAGGCTTTTCAAACTAATGGATCTGACTGAAGGCTCAGACTCTCCTTTCCTGAATCACAACTGTGTTCTCACCCTCCACAAGCTCTGACACTCCAGACCAGCGCTCACCACACACCGGATGACCTCAGACAACTGCTGCAATTAAGAAAAGCCTGCACTTCGATAATGTCTGCCTACTGTTTCATTGTCTACAGCAGATGTATAAAGGCGGACAGCACTTAGCATTGATTATGCTGGTAGAATCTGAAGTACAGCACTGTTTTTTCTTTTCTTTGCTGTAGAACTGGCCATTTAAGTAAAGCCATTTAAATATTGAAAATCTTTGCAAACGGTCTCTCCATATAGTACAAAAGCACACACTCAGACTGTAAGTGGAAAACACACTACACTTCAAATGAAACCACACAGCTATCCTCATGTGCCCACAGAAAAATCTTTTTTAATCAGATAAAATCAGACTTACTTTCATCAGAGCCCATGTTCTCCTCCATGTTTTTGATGTAGTCATCCTGGAAGGAAAAATATATTTGCATAAATGGGTTTAATAATTCATCTTAGGCAGCACAATAGAGGAAATGTGCTCTTGCGCTCATTTTTAATGAGAATTCAGAAGAGCATACATAATGGAGGAAGATAACAGAAAATTTGCTGCACGCCATGAATGACACTTTAAATGTGAGTGTGATTTTAGCAATTCAAATAGATTCAGCTCTTATGTTGAATAGATTGGTAAAAGCAAATTACAAGAACACAAAGCCTTTAGGATTTTTTTCAGTCCAAGGTCTGATTAAATTCAGTTAATTTCTGTGACTAATTTTTTCTCATCCCATATTCTGTTCATTTGCTTGATTGATTTATCTCTATTTTAATCTTTAGGTGAAAAAGAATAATAAAAACTAGAACTAGCAGTGTAACCAAGTGCTTAGAAAGCCTCAAAATAATGACCAAACCTCAAAAAAGAGATCGGCTTTCTCCTCAGGCACGTAATTCATCACAGCCGCTGTAAAACTTCGCCTTTTTGCTGATGACAGTCAATTATACCTTTTTAAATAAATCTGAAATTACTTTAAGTGGTGGATGGATAATAGTTTCTGTCGAGATAATTACATACATGTTCAGTCAATTTCCGTCCTCCTTGATTAATCAAACCAATATATGTTTTATTTATTTGTTTCTGTTTTTGATTTATGTTGTAGTATTACTTTTCCACTTAATGCTGCTGTGTCCTTTTCTCTTTTTTGTGCTGCTGTATCACTTAATTTCTCCTCCTGGAATCAATAAAATGTGCTCTTATCTTTGTTTCAGATTAAAATTTTCAACAACACACTAACAATTAATAGTCCTATTTTGTCCACCTCCTAATTAAAACAATAAATAGACCTTTCCTGGACTTTGGGGGGATTTTTAGTACAGACTTTAACCTTCAAGTGCCCTGCTAGGTCTGATGCACAGCTACATTTCAGAGCTGTTGTCCTTGTATGAGCCAGTGAGCAGCCTGAGATCATCAGGCCAAACGCCCCGGGCTGTTTTCCCCTCAAGGATTTATTCTGGGGGTGACTTTACCTCTGTGGGTCCCTGGTACTCAGTGTGAATGCCCTGAGAAGATCAGGCAGGCTGAACAGTGTCTTTTCATAAGGCTTTTTTGCTCTATTTTTTGTAATTTTTTTTATTACAGACTTCTTTTTTTCGTAATATACTGTCAGTGTCAAAGGTTTAAAAAGTTATACTTTTTCAGTTTTTTGGGAAATACGCTTATTTGCTTTCTTGTTGAGAGTTAGACAAAAAGACTCAAATGCCTGTATGCTAAATAGGCTATGTAGCTGGAGCAAGCAAGGTGATTAGCTTAGCTTAGCACAAAGACTGAAAAGAGGGAGATATATTCAGCCTGGCTGTGTCCAAACCGTGTTTTTACCCTGTGATTTTTGTGCAGATTAAAAGGAGAGATTAAAGAGATAATATAAGATCATAAGACTGTATAAAAATAATGGATGTGGCCACTGTGATGTCACCAATTTGAAGCCTAAAGTTTGGCATTTTGGCTGTTGCCGTCTTTGTTTTTTGGAGCCAGAATTGACCATATTTGGATGAGAGAGTGGAGCTAACCTTAAAGCTAAAAACACACCAGCATCTTGTGATGTGCATCAAATGCCGCCCCTAGCACACACGTGGACGTGTCGCACTGCAGCTCTTCAACAGACAACCACACAAAGTTATTACGACTTTTACTAAAAAATCTGTACTTCCTCCACCTATGCATTAGCTTAAAGTCACGTAAGGACAGCCCCTTTTTAAACTTAATTTATCACCTAAACTGCCAATCTTCAGAGCTACGACTCGCCAGGCAATACTTTTTTGGCCATTGTCTTTATAATGACAGGATTGTGGGTCCTTTAGCTCGGAATATTTCTCAACCTCAACAATGAGTCACTCCTCATCCATTCTTCATCACACACGAGACACAGCAACAGCTGCAGAGTTCTCTTTATACATCAATGGTGAGGAGAGGAGTCAAGCTGCCATAGGAGCAGAGAGCCACTGCCAGTGTAGGGTTGTAAATTGAAAGTAATAGGGGCATATTTCGTTACACATGGCGTTTACTGCTGGTGTGTTTTGGCTTGCTGGCTTGGTTAGCATGGTGTATTTAAATCTATAGCAATGGTTAATTGTGATAATGCTGATACTCATTTTTGCTACCAAAAAACAAAACCATTAAAACAAAATGTCACCTACTTACTGGAAAAACGAAATATCTGACCCCTTAGAGAGACTTTTAGTATAACTAAATTCTGAGCAACACTTTTTAAAGTGACCAAAACGTTACAATTTATTTTTTTTAAACTGAAAACACACTTAAATGCAACAGTAACAGCTACCTGTCTGTGAATCTGAGGTTATGCCATAGCAGCAACTCGTCAACCGATGGCATCCACCCATCACTCAGAGCAGCCACATCCTTAATTATGCATAACATAAGCTTTTACAGCATTTAAACGGTTGAGTTATACAAATATTCACCTACCATACAGTTGGCATGAACGAGGCAATTATAGAAACCAAAACCTTTTTTTGATAACATGTTGATTTCTGTAAAGTTGGTCATTTTAAAATCAGGATCTATGAGGAATGACTTGTTGGGCACTTCCACATTGGCTTCCTTTTTTAGCCTTGAGGTTGCCGCTTGGTGCAGATGTAGATTTCGTTACCTTTACAAAGACCCAGGCTGACTGTTTTCCCCTGTTTCCAGTCCTGATGTTAAGCTAAGCTAACCTTATGTTAAGCGTCTTCTCATCTAACTGTCCAAAAAATAGTCAGTATTTCAAGACAGTGCAAAATTCCCAAAATGTCAAACTGTTTCTTTAAGTGTTTTGTTATAATTATTGTGGTTACTGCTGTAGCTGTAGCCGCTGATATTAAATAAACTGCACAAGGCAAAGCTCTGAGAGCTTAAATATATCTCATAAAAAGACTTGGACTATCTTCGCTCCTGCATTGTTGCAGAGGGAATATTTGCAAACTAACTCCGGTTTTTAGATTGTGTCCCTGGCTGGGTTGCACTGGAACGATAATAAAAATTCAGCGTCCCCGCGCTGTCTCCATTCTGACCCATTTCTCTCTGTGTCAGGACAGAGAGGATCAACTATAAAGCGGTTACTACTCGGCATGAGGCCCAGAGAGGACCCTGAGGATCAGGTCTGTTCAGTTTAGCTTGGTCTTATTCTGCTCAGGGGACACGAAGACTGAGCTCTCAAGTCAAGCTGAACAAGTATAGCCGAAGGCATCTTAAATACTGTGCACGGGGTGAGGAGTTAAAGGGATAGTTTTGATCGCAGTGACTCTAAGAAGAAGAAGAATACATTTCCATTTATGAAATATTACACATTCAATTAATTTTAATGATACTCCTACTTATTTTCTAGTTGGCTCTAGTTTGCATTTGGCTGTTTTTATGTTTTATGTGATTGTTTCCGATGTCCTTTGTCTTTAGGTTGCAATGTTTTTCACCTCTGAGTTGTAGTCACAGACAGATTTCTCGACAATGACATTGTATTTTATGTATTTTTGTGCTTTAGCCAAGATGAGCTCTAATTCAAAAGGCAGGTGACAGCTACAGTACAGCCAAAAAGAGATGTCAAACAAGAGACAGACAATGGCATTGTGCAAATTTACAAAAGAAGACACTAACCTCGACTTCCTGTGGCAATGACAAGCAGCGCAGGGGGAGAAAGAAAGAGAGAGCCATTGTTAGAGATAATAAAAAAAACACTTTACAGTTTCCATTTTGCTTCCATTCAGCATGCAAACAGTGAGTTGGTTTATTACAGTTATGGCAGCAGTTAAACTGTCAGCCCTTAATGCACGCTGATTGCAAATACATGCCTTAGTCTCGCTCCTCTCGGGGGACAACATAAGACATTCACAGAGGATTATGAGCGCCTATTAAGCGAGGATGATCCGCTGCCACTTCTATGAGCTGGCAGTGGTCCCGATCGCTAAGGGCTCATTCTGTGGCGGTGTTTACAAGCAACTGCCAAACGCCAGCCTCCTGCCAGCTCAGAAGTTGTGGATAAGCCATGACATACCGCGTCGGCCTTGGAAAAAATACAGGCAAATCGTTGGGAATCTTCAAAGTCAACAGGCAGATGTGATTTAGATGTTTTTTATGGTTGCAGCGGCAGACACACAGAGCGCATTTACTAAGCGTACCATTGACAACACAGACAGATATAGCTCCTGTAAAGTACAACCTTGAGTTAACAGGGGAGTGACTGCTTTCCTTTCATTCCATTTCACCGTCTTGGCTTAGGTCCAAGGGCATTACACATCAATACCCACCGCAGCCTCTCCCTGTGTGTTTCATCATTCAATGCTCCGGTGTGTTTGAGAGAAATATAGCACTGCATGGTTTATTTCAGCAACTCAACCCAGTAAATAAACCTAATTCTCACACACACACACTGCCGTACCTGTCTACTTAATATATCACTGTGAACAATTTACAGGCCGTACAAGGACAGGCCAGAAAAGCCAGCAGAAGGCTTTAAAGGGCTAAAGCAAGAATTCATCACCGAGCCACAGCAGGACTCGAGATTTCACCTCCGAGACTGTTTCTTGGAGGTAAATATTGTCTCTGTGGCTGTGAAAATGTCCAGGCGCTACGTATACGAGGAGCAATATCACTCTCTGTTATCTTCAAAATCTGCTGTGATATGAGAAGAAGAAAGGAACCTTAAATATGTCATATGAAATGTAAACACCTCAGCTGCTGAATAAGATGACTTCTCCCTTCTCAGATCTGCATCTTTACATGGCATTTTAAAGGTTATAGATGAAAACACTGAACTTTCAAGATGACACTGCAGCACAAAGAAAGCTGAAATAATTGCAAAGCTTTTAAAGGAACAGGTTGTAACATTGAGGGGGATTCAGTGGCATCACGCGGTGATCTAGCTGAAACTTCTCCTGGTTAGTATTATTGCTCAGGAGGTTTTTATCGGGAGCCAAACTGACCTTTCGCTAAGAGATGGTCTGACAAGCTGTTGGAGTAAGCATGGAGCCCACACTGTAACTAGCTGCACTCCCTGAAGAAATATTATCATATTTTTGGAAAACTGAAACAGTGATTCCAGAGAGAAGCAGACAGAGGGGTCTACAGTCTGTGTTTGAAGGATATATCCAGGATGTCAAACTGACTCAGCAGCAACAACAGGTTAAAAAGACAAAGATAGTTAGAAGCTAAAGCTGAACTATAGACTACAGATCACAGTGTAAAAGTGAACCACCACATCACTGCTGATCGCCACACAAGACAATGAATATAAAGGGAAACTTTGCTCATATTGAACCGGCTGTGTGGCATCACAGTGTGTGCAGATGAACGGTGTTTGGCTTCACCCCCGTGCTGCTGCCAGTGTTTGGACCTCTACCGCCGGACAGGCAGGGATCTCTTCTTCTCATCTGCACACACTGCGATGACACAGAGCTGGTTGGATATCAGCAGAGTTTCCCTGCTTCCCTTCACTGGTTCCTGTACAGCAGGGTCGGTCTTTGTTTCTTTGTTATAATCACTAAAAAGCAAAAGCAGCATGTGTATACATTCAGTAGGCTATATCTTCAGTAGCTAGCTAGCTAACCCTACACTTTTCAGGGTTTGATTTTGGTTTTGGAACAGGGAAGAAACTTATATCTTTTTCCAACCTCTCCAGGTAACGAGTATCATTAATACACGACGTGCCCCAGGCACAACATTTAGCTCCAAAATGCAGCACAGCTGTGTTGTTGTCAGGCCCTGGTCTGAGCCGGCTCAATGCTACGTTATGATTGGCCAGTCTGCATCAGGGGCAGGACTTGAGCTGGCCTGATGCTATCCAGGTAACGAGTATCATTAATACACGACGTGCCCCAGGCACAACATTTAGCTCCAAAATGCAGCACAGCTGTGTTGTTGTCAGGCCCTGGTCTGAGCCGGCTCAATGCTACGTTATGATTGGCCAGTCTGCATCAGGGGCAGGACTTAGCGAAGGGTCAATTACCCACAGAGGTCTCTTCCTCTTCAAACCAAATGGTCCTTTGGTATGGCCCTATTTAGAGCCAGTGTTTGGTTTGTCCATTCTGGTCTGTCGATCTCCATTGACGAGGACCGGCTCCTTATATAGATATAAACGGCTCATTCTAAGGTAATGACACCCAATTATTTACAGGTGATTATTCACTAAAGAAAATATTCTCATTATCCTTCATTCCATTCCTGCCAATTTATCCCCCTAAATCCTACAACTAACCTTTAAATCATCCATAGAATTGCGAATACCAGGAAAAAAAATGTAGAGTATCATAAAATTCCACAAAACGACCGCCCTTATTATCAAAAATACGACTGTAACATGTCATATGTCAGATGTAACGATCGCTTAATTAATTATTCGCAGTGCTTCTGCAATTACCCAGCTCACAGTGCTGCAGGGGCCGGTGGGAGTCCTACAGCATGTCCTAAAGGCTGGAGTGCTTATCTGCTCCCAGCAGCAGTGTGACAGCAAGGACACCAGGCTGAGGCTGCATTTAGTCCTTCACCAAGGTTGAGAGCTAATGCTGTCCCACTGAATCCCAGCCAGGCTTCTGCTACAGTTCACAGCAAGCCCAGACAAGGGGGAGGAAGGGAGGGATGGAGGGAGGGAGGGAAAGATCAGGGAGCAAGGGGGGGGTATGATATTCATGGTGGAGGTCCCCTGAGTTATGTGATTCATATCACACACACCACCTCTTCTGCCATTTGTCAACAAGGCTGTATCGCAGCCGGTGTAAAATAGAACCGGGAGGCTAATGGAGCTTGACTATCCAGATGCTGCGACCGCTCCTCCTGGACCGCTCGCTGGTATTAACCTGACAGCGTTTGGCCGCAAGCCTGGCTGCGCTCCTCTGAGTTAACGTCTATCTCACCTCGACCACGGCCCCGTCTGCCGGTGACATAAATACCACCGATAACCCTGAACCACTCGACCCCAGCGTCGCCCGCTGCAACACACCCATCCTGAGCACTGACACCAGAATGTTCAGGCACATTCCCAGCTCTGCATGACAGCCGTGGGGATAAGCTGACTCTTAAACCATTTAACTGCATGTCTGTGTCGTGTTGTGCAAGGAAATTGCTCTGGTGTTGGAGTATGTGAGGAAGCGAGTAATGCTCCAGTCCAATTCTCAGTATTGGTCTGATTCTAGCAAAGGCACTTGATCGGATATGAGAAAAACATATTAAAATCAAACATTAGGGACATAAAAGTGGCCAAGACAGACAGGAAAGTCAAGAAGATATTTCTGCAAAACCCTAGATTACACTGAACAACAACAACAACAACAACAACAAAATCTGAGCCTTTGACAATATCTGTGTAATATTCTGGTATTAGCAAATAAACCATGGTAAAGATATGGTAAGGGTTAGAGTAAAACTGTGGTGAAAGCTAACGAAAATAAAAACATTTAAAGGTCTGTGATGGGGCTCAAACTCTGGTTTCCTGCATCAACGTCAGTCGTGCTACACATTCATCCGCAACCCCAACCTCCACCACCTCACTTCCTGCATTGGCACCAATCATTGCTACTGGATGTAAGTCGAGATACAGACACAGTTCCTGGGGATACTGAGCTGGGTCTCGGATGTGAAACTTCAAATGTGTTTTTCATGGACAGAATCCGTGTTGGAAGCTTCGACAAAAACCACAAACTTGATAAAACTTGCAGAGGCATCATGAAAATTTTACGAGAAAGAAAAGTTTTGCCGGACCGACAAAGACTGAAGAAACGTGTGAAGTTTGAGAATCTCCCTCCACATTGTAACAAAGCTACCCAGCTGAGTAAATCATAGGATTTATTTAGATGGATGACCAATCGTTTTCTGCATTTAAACAGAACTGTTTTTAAGTCATCTGGACCTCCGCCGCCAGACGGGCAGGGATCTCCAGAGGAAATCAAACAACGTTTATCTGCGCACAATGCGATGACACACAGCTGTTCAGACCAAAGATTCGCAACAAGACAAAACTTCTTCAGAATACTACAGAGAGAAGTTGTGTTGGTGTCATCTGGCAGGTTTTCAGAATGTTGCAGACCAGCACAACGTAAGTAGTTTCAAGTTTCAACTTATGTCGTCACAAATCTGTTGCAAGTCTGAACCGAGCTTAAGTCTACAGCTCTGCATTTGAAAACATTTTGCTTCAAAACTAAGGCTAGTGCGATTATCGAGGCTAAAGGCTATCCAAAAAAAGGATATCAAAAACCCTGGGGTGTTCTTGCCGGACAGTTGTCAATGGCAGTGGATCGCTCTGTGTTTCTATTGGTCAAAGTAGCGGCTGTGACGAGAGCAGTCGTGAACAAAAAGAAAATCAAACATGCTAGACTTTCTCTCAGGATGTCGTGAGGCGTCCCAGATGCTGCGTCGGTTGTTGTCCACTATGACGAGATGAAACAATGGATTATCACGTGTGACACTTGTTGTCGATCACAATCCGAGCCGAAACCATACGACACTGCCTCAGGCTGTAATCGGGCTGTCACCATATAGTGTGTACCTGGCATAAGGTAGCAAAAACACAATGATTCTAAGCTTCAGGTCAGTTATGAATGTTAAATACCATCTCTGCCAATCGATGCCCCTGAATCCAACACACTGGACCTGTAAGCGGTGCTAGATTATTCACA